CCCGTGGGGGCCTCTCCCGAAAAGGCCGTGCTCGAAGCCACTGGAGTCCTGCTCGCCGTCTCCTCTGGAGTAGAGGCCGAACCACATCTCCTTCAAATCGGCGACGAACTCCTGCTCGGAGCCATAGCGGTCTGCAAGCAAGGGGACGTGGAGAGGTGGGAGCGGCGTCCCGGGATGGGAGCACAGCTGGGGCTTCTCCCCAGCCCTGACCCAGCTCTCTCCCTCAGGAACAATTTAGCTTTGCCCTGCTCAGTTCTCCCACGTCCTGCCAGCTCTGGAGAGCCTGCTGCTGTGCTCCTCCAGTCTGCATCCTACAGGTCATCTCCCACCCAGCTGGGGCTTTCCTTTTGGGTCCCCAAGGTGCAGGGACCCCCATTCCCCCAGGTCAGCCCTGCTCTGCTCCACACTCACTTTTTTTGTGGAGGAAGGCGAAGAGTTTCTTCATGAGCTCGGTTTTCATCACCTCCGTAAGGAAGTTGTCCTGCTCCCTCAGCTCCTCCGCCGTCACCTCCTCCTCCCTGCCCGTCGCCCTCTGGTAGTTGTCCAGCAGTTTGATGAAGCTTGCGTAGGTGGGTTTGGAGAAGAGCTTCTCATTGACGTATTTGTAGAGCCTAGAAGAAGGCAGATCCTGCACTCAGCTGGGAAGCAGAGGTCCCCTCCAAAACCAGCCTTGCCGGACGGTCTCTGCCGTGGTGGCCCCTGGCCACCTCCTGAAGATGCTGGTGCACACTCACGGCTGCGGGGAGCGATCCTCCTGGTTGCCCGTCTCGTCGTCGGAGGCCTGGTACTGGGGGTTGATGGTGATGTCGGTTGGCTGGGCTTTGTTGTGGTCCGCCTTGTAAAGCTCCTCTGAGACGTGCAGGAGTTCCTCGTCGGTGATGGCGTCTCGACTGCTGGAGAAACCCTCTGCAAGGAGAGGCGGGAGGCTGGCAAGAGCGGGCAGCAGCTCCCAGGGTTGCAGATTAGCTGCCCAGGGAGCAGCGAGGGTGATGCAGCACCCGATGCTGCACGGGTGACACGATCCTGGGATGCCGTAAGAGCTGGGTGCTCAGCATGGAGGGGTGCAGGGGTGGCAAGGGGGTCCCAACCCACACCAACCCCATGCCCCGGGGACAAGAGGGCATGGCCAGGTTGGATGGGGCTCTGAGCAACCTGATCTAGGTGAAGATGTGCCTGCTCACTGCAGGGAGGTTGGGTTAGATGACCTCTGAAGGTCCCTTCCAACCCAAAGCATTCTGTGATTTCAAGAGCTGGCCACAGGGCTGCAGACACGGGAGCCTTCCATTAACCACTGGGTGGGCTGGGAAGCACCAGTCCCTGTCTCCCAGGCACGACACCGCTCCTTGCAACCCATCTGCTGGCATCAGCCCCCTCTTGATCTCCCATGTGCCGTGACCAGGGGATGCAAACGCCAGCTCGCCCCTGGCTCTGGTCGCCCTGGGCCTGCCTGCTTCACCCGGCTCTGGCCAAGGGAGATAACGAAGCGTTAAAAAGGCAGGCGATGCTGGGGCTCTCGCTGCTCCATCTGCTCAGCAACGACACGCCGGGGCTCGGAGCGGCTGGGGGCGGGGGGGGGGGGGGGGGGGGGCAGACCCCCGGCTGGTGACGGGGTGGTGTGGGTGCGGACACGACACCCCGATGCCATCGACCCCCAAAAACCACAGGCAGCAGAGGACCGGGCTGCCCGGAGGCACGTGGGGTGGAACCGGGGTGAAACCGGGGCGGGGGGTTATCAGTCGCCCTTGCTCAGAAGCGGAGCTACTCACCGCGGGTGCGAGGTCCCTCCGCGGCCCATTCTCCACCTGCACGGAGCCAAAAGAAGGAGGTCAGGGTGGTGGAGACGCGGGCTGGGGGCTGCCCAGGACCACACATCAACACAGGTGGACACGTGCTTGCAACCAACCCCTTTGCACCCCACGGCTGGGCTCTGGCAGTGGCAGGGGGAGGGCAGCCCCCCCAAGCCCCCCGTCGCCCGGGGATGCTCACCGGGTTGGCAGTGCCGGTAGTAATCCTCGCAGCAGTTGTGGTACCTCTCGCACTCGGCGTCGCAGTGGCACTCGTCCTCCTTGCTGTAGGGCTCCTCGCAGCGTCCACTGCAGGAGTCAGAGGCCGTGGACAGGTCTTTGGGAGAGAGAAACAACAGCGTGGTCGTCAGGACGGACTGACCACCCTGCTCCATCCAGCCCACAACCTAGGACCACCCTCCCTTCTGCCCATGCTCCCCTCCTGGGAGAGCCCGAAGGACCAAGCTCCTGGGAAAGCCCAAAGGACCGAGCTCCTGGGAGAGCCTGAAGGACCAAGCTCCTCAGAGATCCCGGAGGACCGAGCTCCAGGAAGAGCTCGAAGGACCAAGCTCCTGGGAGAGCCCGAAGGACCAAGCTCCTGGGAGAGCCCAAAGGACCGAGCTCCTGGAAGAGCCCAAAGGACCGAGCTCCTGGAAGAGCCCGAAAGACCAAGCTCCTGGGAGAGCCCAAAGGACCAAGCTCCTGGGAGAGCTCGAAGGACCAAGCTCCTGGGAGAGCCCAAAGGACCGAGCTCCTCGAAGAGCCCAAACGACAAAGCTCATCAGAGAGCCCGAAAGACCAAGCTCCTGGACCCTGGAGCTGTCTGGGATCCTTTGTCAGAGTTTCGGGGTGGCTGAATCCTTGGGATGCCCATCTCCATGGGTCACTCCTCTTCGGCTGCGAACGTCCACCACGTCAGGGCCACTTCACACCAGGAAACACGTTCTTGACTCCCCACCATTAATTGCTCCTTCTGATTCACCCTTTTAATGCCAGGCTTAGCAGGAGTGCCCCAGGTCGCACCGTCTCTGGGCCGAAGGAGAAGTGCCACATTCCAGAAACCCTTATTTGCAACCGGACCATCGCTCTTTCTGCAACGCTGGGAAAACTGGGAACTCCTTCCTGAGCTATTTATAGGATAAATGTGTCGTCAAGCATGTGCTTTATTACACAGCTAAAAATAACGCGGCAACTCCAGCTGTGCTTTGACTAGGACAAGCGTCATGTCGCAGATGGACGAGGGACACTTGCCGTCAAGAAAAGAGGGGATGTAAGCGACTCAGATGTTGGGTGTGTACCAAGAGACAGCCCAGAGATCGCGTGCTTAGGGAAGGCGCCTTGTCCTCTGTGCCACCCATCAGCTCCTGACGGGAGGAATGGGACAGCAGACAGCCCGGCCATGGCTTTCTTGTCATCCCTTTGTTGCAGACAAGAAGGTGACCATCTCCAAGGACGTGCTGAGAAGCCATGTCCCGACCAAGATGTCAGCCTGCAAAGCGATCCCTGGAGGAAAGGGTGGTGCTTTCCCTCGCAAGCCTGTCATCATGCTACATCTTAAACACCTCTGATTTGCCTGCCTTGAACTTCAGAAGGTGAAGCATGCCCTCAGGGCAAATCCTGACACAGTAGCGATGACAGCAGTGATGCATGGAGAACTGGGAAGGGCTGCAGAGGGAAGGGGCACCCATGGTTTGGGCGATGAATGAGCAAAGGGTCCTGCACCTGGGAAGGAACAACCCCAGGCACCAGGACAGGCTGGGGCGGACCTGCTGGGAGCAGCTCTGTGGAGAGGGACTGGGAGTGCTGGGGGACAACAGGGTG